GTCATTTTAATGTTTCTCTTACTGGAAGTTGTGGTTTCGTCGCGGACTTGGTTTTCGCTTCCCATTGGGAACGAAATGGAAAAAAATGTATTAAATTGAGTGGCGAAAAGGGAGCCGGAGTCAGGAAATGATAGAAAAACAAATAGATAGAGACAAAGAATGTGCGAAGAGGGAAGAAGAACAATAACAGCATCAAGAAAGTTGTCGTTAAACTTATAGGCAAAATATATATTTAAATAATTAACGTACACTGTCCCCTTCTAAAGTGTTTTAGCGACGCTCCTGAAAGAAGGACAAATAAAAATATGACTATAAAAATAAGAATTAGACGGTCACTCCCCCCCCCCCTCCTTAAAGAAAATGTTTTAGCGACGCCCCGAAAGGACCGAAAAAAAGTATAGAGATATCGACTGCTTCAAGAGGCCTTGCTGTTTAATAGGCTCAAGATGTGCAAGCTCTCAAGAGCCTACACATCAGCCAGACCTCGAATATTAAAGCATTCGATATGTCTTTAATAATGCTGAATTGAAACAAAAATCTACCAAGAATTCTGACCTTATTCTTTTATTGAGTAAAGATCGGTTAAAACATCACGGAAAATCTGAGAAACTGTCTGTTTATCTTTGTTTAGCGGTGTCCGCTTACTATTTTCATGGTAACCGAAATTTTGAGGGATCTCACTTTTGGAGTATTAACCGGTATTGGCATTTTTTGTTTCTTTACGGGAATGGCCAAAATCACGACTCCAATTTCGACCAATCAGAAGGCTGGATTCCTTAAGTGAGGTATATCAAATCAGATAAAGACCGAGAGAGAGAGGGAGAGAGAAAAAAGGGGATACAGTGGCTAGATCCATCTACACTGTTGGTCATAATGGTGGAATAATTTTTTTTACCCCAGTTTAGGGAAGGATTTAAAAAAATTATTTATTTCTAATAGATCTAGATAATGGCATACATTCTCAGATTTTATTGAATATTAATTTGCGAGTGTTCGTTTTTCGTGACTGCTAAATCATATATGTGCTACTATGCTAATCAGCTAGGGAACCTACGTCCTTAAATCATAATTGACAGTAATGAGGATTAATGCCTCACAAAAGGGCACTAATATAGCTGATCGACACGATTTTTATACTGGGGCCTCACAGTAACAAGGCCATTGCTTAGCCCCTGAATCATGACTGTACGCAGTGTTTGCTAGGGTAAGCGGCCCCTTCCACAAATCCCCCAAAATGAAGAAAATGCAATAAATTGTCAAAAATTAATTGCATTTTCCCCCGGCCCCCAACAGGAAAAATTCCTCTGTGTGGCCATGCCTTGAACCATAATGCATGGCCCTACAGAGAAGTTTTTCCTGTTGGGGGCCGGGGGAAAATGCATTGAATTTTTGACAATTTATTGCATTTTCTTCGTTTTGGGGGATTTGTGGAAGGGGCCGCGTACCCTAGCAAACACTGCGTACAGTCATGATTCAGGGGCTAAGCAATGGCCTCGTTACTGTGAGGCCCCGGGATAAAAATCGAGTCGATCAGCTATATATAAGTGCCCTTTTGTGAGGCATTAATCCTCATTACTGTCAATTATTACTTAAGGACGTAGGTCCCTTAGCTGATTAGCATAGTAGCACAATTATGATTAAGCAGTCACGCAAAACAAACACTCTCAAATTAATATTCAATAAAATCTGAGAATGTATGCCATTATCTAGATCTATTAGAAATAAATAATTTTTTTAAATCCTTCCCTAAACTGGGGTAAAAATAAATATTCCACCATTATGACCAACAGTGTATAATAGTAATACGCTAAGGCTCCGCGGGGGGCATGACGTCTCCGCCGGCCTTTGTATTCTATTGTTTTTTAATGAGATCGCCGACCCAAGTTGGTGCGGCTATCTCCTCCTGAACCCTCCCCTCGGGGTACCCGTGCCCGGTGCCGTCGTCCGCGGGAGAGTCTACTCTGTCGAATTGGCTATACCGCCCGAGGTCCTCCTCCGTGTCGACGTCCAGGGCGAAAACAGACGCGATATGCATAATGCAGGATATGCGTGACGACAGAGATACCTCATGGATATTCAACATGACATCCGTAGACACACGACCGATGACCATCCACTCACATTAAGTTGCGTATTCAATGCACGATGTACAGGGTCGGGCTTACCCGAGTAAAGCATCTTTCTATAGGATATCCTTTGTAGTAGCTGCACAAGCCACAGAGATACACACGAAGCTTCCCGTCCACGTCCAAACTTAGAGACCTATTTCCATCATTATTGCCGCGATTTTTATATAGTTTTCGTGAATGGAGGTATGAACTCAAAGCTTATTTTGTGATTATGACGGTTATGTATACTACATTTTGATTATCATTTTCTAAAGGAAAGTTTTCACAAGAAAACCATTGGACTGACAATTCAGTCGCAAGCTGCCTTCAGTCAACACAAAGTGAAGTGCTGCTGTGTAGTGTGTGTGAGTTGCGATGAGCTTGCAGGAAGCTCCAACACTGGCACCGCGCACCGTAGGCGTCCGACGCCTGCGGCGCCGGTGTTGAGCTTCCTGGAGTTACGCTGCAGTGTGTGTGTGAGTTCACCTAAGCTTGAGTCGAAGAGATTTGACACTTTGAAATTGTTATCTGTTGGTTTGCATCATTATTGCCGCGATTTCAATATAGTTTCGTGAATAGATTGACGAAACCTGAGCTTAGAATTAGTAAAAGTATTACTAATGTCTACGTTTTTAAACGACTGTCTGATTTTCTTGTGAAAATTTTACTTTGAAAAATGATTATCGAAATTAATGGTCAGAAATAATCACAATCTAGGGTCTATTATGTTACAGTTCTTGCATCAAATCAATGCATGAAAACTTATAGTTATTGAACTAGAAAAATATATATTTTTTTTAATAGGCAATTATGAAGCAGGAAGCCTGAAACCTTAGCCTACTAAACAAATCTCAACAAAGTGTAGGCCTATCCTTTTATGAATTAATGAAAAAGTAGCCCCAGAAAAAAGAGCCCCCGAAAGTTGAAAAAGTAGCCCCCGAAAATTTCCCAAAAATTTGAAATGGAGCCCCCGAAATGAAAAACTTAATTTTTTGCCTGCGCCCCTTCTAGAATCCCACGGATTTCCACGGGTCCTGAGTTGCGTGTATATATAATATAGGCGTGGGGTCCAAGGGTTTCAAGGGGCCATTAACCCCCAAAAGCTCGGGGGTTACGTTCTTCAAAGTTGGGGGGGGGGGGAGAGATCAGATCGCAGCGAGTTGAGTGTATATGTTATATAGGCGTGGGGTCCACGGGTTTCAAGGGGCCATAAACCCCCGAAAGCTTGGGGGTTTTAGGCGTTTAATTAGGGTCAGATGAGCATATTTTTAATACTTTATTTGTGACACTTGCGGGTCACTAATTGGCGTGGGGTCAATACGTAGAGTTGTGTAGTGTTGCGTACCAACTACGCTGGCCTACGTTACTATATGCTGAGGGACGGAAAGGGGTACGCAAGGTGAACGAAAACAATTCAACATGTTTAATTTTTTTTGCCTACTTTCGGCGTAGAAACTTGACGCAGAAATTACGCCTTTTTACGCAGAAAGTCCGCCTTTTTACGCAACAGTACGCTACCCTACGCCAGATCGACTAAGCAGTAAAAGCTTTCCATACAGTAAGCAACCATAAGCAAACCTGTACGCCAGCCTACGCATAACCTACGCAGGGACTATTTTCCCATTAATACGCAGCCTAATTTCTGCGTAGTCGGTACGCCACACTATGGAACTCTACGCAGTTTTAGTGGCTTAAAGAATAAGTACCGGTACAGTTGGATTGTTTTTTTAAATTTAATATAAGGCCAAATAAAAAAAAAAACATGCTTATAGCGTCCTGTTTTTTTGAAAAATGGGAAGGAGGAGGCGCTTTTTTTTTTTTTTTTTTCTTTCAAAATGGCCGCTCCGTACATTTTTCCTGGCATTCGGGCTATTTTTCAAGATGGCGGCCGACAATTTTTTTTAAATCAGAAATACTTTTTAGCAGTGCTTTTCATTTTTTTTTCTTTAAAAAAAAAAAAAAAAAAAAAAAAAAAAATAGGAGGTGGCCCCCAAAAAGGAAGCAGGCGGGGACGATGTTTTTTTTCTTTCAAAAAAATAAATAAATAAAAAAAAAAAAAATAAATAAAAAAAAAAAAAATAGGAGGCGGCCCCTAAAAAGGAAGCGGGCGGGGACGCTAAACATGTATATTTTTTAATGGCCTGAATGGTAAATAACGTTCTTGGTGGTTTTAATTTAGACATTCTCTATATATCTATTTACACCCCCGCCCATGGGTGTCGATCCTTACGTAATACCTATTCATCAGGGGGGGATGAATGAATAGATCATCCCCCCCTGATGAATAGGTATCAGTTACGGATCGACACCCATGCCCCCGCCCCCTCTAGAATCCCGCGGATTTCCGCGGGTCCTGCTAGTTATGATAATAATCAAATGCATGACGTCATTTCCATGAAGCTATTGCCTAGACATACCAGAGGTAGTGGCGCTTTGAGAAGTCGTTGTGTCTGAGCGTTCCGTCATCGTAGTCGAAGGGCTCGTCGTAGGCTTGTTCGTCGCTACCTGCGTTGACTCTGTGAAGAAGAAAAAAACATGGGATAGATGACAAGGCATGATATTTACTCTGAAATTATTTTATACCGCCGGCTGTCTCCAGGCGCTCTTGGTCAGGCAGAAGGATATGATCAAAGCGGGGGGGGGGGGGGGGGGGACAAATAGAAATCGGAAAACATTTTTCCTGTGGGAATCCCAATTCCATCAACAAATTCCGAAAGGGGACCGCAAGCTTTTTTTCTTCTTAAACTTCATATTTTACTTCTTCTTCTTCTTCTTCAGTTGTAACTACTGAATTTTCGTTTACCCCCTGTAGAAAGTCTCTTCATGCTCATTGTTCATTAATTAGCCACCCCTCCCCCTCCCCCGATACGCCTATGTTGATATTACACTTACGTTCATCGCAGTGTTTCCCTTGAAACCCACTTGAGCAGGTACAGTTGTAGCCTACCATAGTCTCCTCACACCAGCCGTTTTTACAGAGATTTTTGCCACAATCTGCGAAATAAGTAATAAACGGGATAAAACTCAATATTGATTAACAAATTATCATTACACTTTGTTCTGTTTGGTGTGAAAAGATATATTTTCGGGATTTTCACAAATTAACATAAAAAAGATATAGCAAGACTAATGATAATGCATTTTCACCAGGGCTGAAACATGTCAAACGCCACGTAGACCATACTCCATAGTCATCCGATACCCATTGCATTGGTGTCAGTGCCCATTCTCTAAATGCACTGTTTTGCCTGGTGTAATTCACAGCCCTTCCCGACTATTTTTTTAATAAATCCCCCGTTAATTGTTCCTGGCTTTATTTTGTCAAATGTTTATGATTAGGGTAAGAGTTGCAATTGGCTTTAAGGTTAGGATTAGAGTTAGGGTCAGGTATAGTGTTTGTTACAGTTACAGGAAAACCCAATCATAATAGACAACTACTCTAAAAGAAAGCAGAAATATCAGAGAAGCAGACTGATAAAAGTTCGAATGGAATCGGATAAAAAATAAGAAAATTTGTTTCAACACACAAAATGACTAAAATGTTAATTTTTCCAAATGTTTGACTCTGGAGGGCCTTTCCATTTGAGAGAACCGATGATAATGTGCTATCCGAAATATATTTTGCCTACTGCCCCAAGGGAGAAGGCACTTCTAACCATTTTTATCCACGACGAACGGGAAAGTTGTCCATGACTATGTCACAATCAGTTGGAGATTGGCATATATTTAGTGATCTCATATTTCAATCATTCATAACTCCCTTGAAGTTAATTCGATTTATTTTGCCAATCTTTTTCTCTTACTTTTCTACTTTCATACAAATGAATATTTAACAAGATTTGGATTCCCCTTTAAGAAATTAACGTGGAGCAATTTTCGTCAGAAACAAATGTCGTACAACCTTTCCCTTTTTAGATCTTCCTACGTACCTGTACTGTAATAAAAGAAATCGTGATATAGAAAAAGCGGCCTTAAAATAAAGAAATTAGTTAGAAACGAGACCGCGAAGTTTGTCACTGGTTTTTCTAGCACTTAACAATTACTTAAGCCCATCCATTTAGGCCTTAATTCAAGTGAGAAAACAATAATTATTTCACACTGTTTTCAAATTCTGGTACTTGATAGCGAAGGGAAAAACGAGAATATTATTTGGTGAATACGAATTCACAAATATTGTTGCTCGTCTCGCATCAGAATATTGTTTTGCTAGATAATTTGATGTTCCTTTCATTATTTTCGATAGATTTTACTAAACATCTAGAGAGGAATTTCAAATAGTAGTATTAGTAGAAGTCGTAGAAGTCGAAGGAGTAGTAGTAGTAGTAGTAGTAGTAGTAGTAGTATTAGTAGTGGTTAGAGTAGTAGTAGTAGTAGTAGTAGTAGTAGTAGTAGTAGAGGTAGTAGTAGTAGTAGTAGTAGTAGTAGTAATAGTAGTAGTAGTAGTTGCAGTGGTAGTAGTAATTGTACTGGTAGTAATAGTAGTAAACATTTAGTAGTAGTAGTAGTAGTGGTAGTTAGAGTAGTAGTAGTAGTAGTAGTAGTAGTAGTAGTAGTAGAGGTAGTAGTAGTAGTAGTAGTAGTAGTAGTAGTAGTAGTAGTAGTAGTAATAGTAGTAGTAGTAGTAGTAGTAGTAGTAGTAGTAGTAGTAGTAGTAGTAGTTGCAGTGGTAGTAGTAATTGTAGTGGTAGTAATAGTAGTAAACATATAGTAGTAGTAGTAGTAGTAGTAGTAGTAGTAGTAGTAGTAGTAGTAATAGTAGTAGTAGTAGTAGTAGTTGCAGTGGTAGTAGTAATTGTAGTGGTAGTAATAGTAGTAAACATTTAGTAGTAGTAGTAGTAGTAGTAGTAGTAGAGGTAGTAGTAGTAAACAATTAGTAGTAGTAGTAGTAGTAGTAGTAGTCGTAGTAGTTTTATTTGTAGTAGTTGTAGTAGTGGTGGTAGACCTCTAGTAGTATTCGTATAGTATTGTTAGTAGTTTTAATGATAGTGGGATCGGATATTTATAATGTCAATTAAAAATGTATGATCTGTACTATTATTGATTGATTAGCTTTTTTTAAGGGATTTGATATTTTATAACAAAAATGAAACCAAGGAAGCATGAGATTTACCCGGGATTCTGCATATTATGTGTTGGCCAGGAATTTTTCCAGCGAAGACGGCAGGGGTAGAGAAGAGTTTTGGGACGGTCTGCAACATGGTGCCATCGGGCAGTCGCACCATCTTACAATTAAAGGATGTCGGCAAGGTGCTTTGCTTGCTGAACTCGCCTGGACAAGATGTTTTTGTCAGCTTCGACGAATCCGATAAAGCGGGCAAGGCTGTGTGGAATAAACACAAACAAAAATCGCTAGTGAGCTCTTCCTCCTACTGCTCTCCCTCCTCCTATTCCCCTCCCCAATCCTTCCTCTTCCTCCCTTGCCTCCCCTCCTCCTCCTCTTCCCGCTGTCCCTCCTCTTCTACCTCCCCCTTTCTCAGCCTTCCCTCCTCCTCACCGCCTTCCCTCCTCCTCACCGCCTCCCCTCCTACTCACCAACTCCCCTCCTCCTCACCGCCTCCCCTCCTCCTTACCGCCTCCCCTCCTCCTCCCCCATCTTCTTCCTCTTCTATCTCCTCCTCTTCCACCTCTTCCTCTCCCCCTTTAGTATCATTCTCTTTCTCCCATATTCCCCTCAATCTCCTCATCTTCCTCCTCAATCTCTTTCTCTTCCTCCTCTTCCTCCCCGTTACCTCTCACCATCTCTCCTTCCTTTCCCCCTTCCCCATCTCCTATTTATTCTTCCCATCCCCTACCCCTTATGATTGAAATTTCCCTTACAATAGTTTGAAACATTCATTAGGGGGAATTTTCCAAACGTCGAACTATTTATTAGAGACCCTACGTAGATTTTACACCTCGCTCCTATTTCGCTTCATAATGGTAATTTTATGAGCCAACCTTTTCAGCAATATTCGTACAATCATGAAAATATGACGTATATAATTATGAAGTCACACTTATTCTTACCTAAGGACAAACAGGTTACAGTGCCAAACAGCAACTTCCACATTACACCGATCTTTTGGTCTTTAGCCTGTGTTTATAAAAAAATGTTAACATTGCATAAACAAATAGAACAAGAACAGAAAAATGATGATTAAGATAATGGCTAATTATGCTAATGTTATCACCTACCAAAACCAAGAACGGTATTTTCCAGCAGGATTTTCACTTTCACTGGCCCAAAATATTGGGATGCCCTTCCCGGCACATTAAAAGAAAAACCCTCTATAAGTGGTTTCAAAAATGCCCTCAAGCACTTTTTGTTGCAAACGAATCAGAATAAGTAGTTCCCCGTTTTTGTTTTTGGTTCATTGTTTTTCCCCCGTAATTGTATTTTGTCTGGCATGGGTCATTCAGTGCTCTGTGGCATTCATGTATTTAGTTAACACTGGTTTCAAGTGGTACCTCGTTCGTTTTAGCAAATGCATTTTGTAGGGGCCCCCTATGGGGGCGTCTGGCGGGCCCTTAGCAGCAGAAATTTTGTCTGGCATGGGCCATTCAGTACTCAGTGGCATTCATACAATTAGTTAACACTGGTTTCAAGTGGTACCTCGTTCGTTTGATCAGATGCATTTTTGGGCCCCCCTCAACTGGCCCCAGGGGCCACATGCAGCAGAGGGACTCCGGCAGACGTCCACATTTTGATAGCCTAGGTTTTTCCCAAATGTTCCAATACTCAGATATTGTTACCTCGTTCGTTTGATCAAATTGTTCTGGGCTGCCGGACTATAGGCTATGCCCTTACGTACAACTGATATATTTTGGTTCATTCGAAGTTTTAAATTACAAATTATTTTCCAAAACATAATCATGTCCCTGTTATACAAACAAAAAGTGAAACGTTGCATCGAATTTTTCACAAGTGTTGCATAAATTATTATTCACTTTTTGCCATTTATATAAATTTTCATTTGAGGCAATAATCCTATGAATCATCTTTAAATTTAATTGTTTAACTTTATTATAAGGAATTTGCATTAATTTAAATGAAAATACATCCTTCTAAACAACTTAATTATCTAAATCTAGAAAGGAATCATGTATTTATTAAAACGGATAACAAGTAAAACGGCTATAAAATAAAATCAAGCACATGGTGGCTATTTCAATATGATTGAAACAAAAACATAAAATACTTAACAGATCAATCTTCAAGGGCTTTAAACAAAAAGATCAAGTAAAAGGAGGCACCTTTTCTTTGTTCAAAAGGGCCCTTTTGGGGTACTTAAAAAGGTTGGGGGCACTGTGACCATTGTCAAACCCCTCCCCCCCCTTCTCCCAGGATCCCCGCCTCTAAATTAGCTTGTTTGCTTCGTTTTGGTTTGTGATGTTTGTGACAACGCTTGTTATCTTTAAAAAAAAAAAAATCATAATTCTATATCGAAATTATTCAAAAGCTGTGTTAGGTATTAGGGCCAATGTTCTTATTTTGAGGAGTGGGGCGTACATTTATTTATATGTGAAAATACATGTTACGCTAATAACATGCCGAAAGTGGATTGACAATTATGATTCAGCTTCATTGGAATACCTGTCAGCGTCAAATATTTTCAGAGGGGTGGGGTTTGTGAGTGGATCAAAAGGATAGATATTGATAGTATCACCATTATATTTTGTTGCTATGCACGTTGCGATACAAACAAGCTGGTTTTAATGATACGCTGATTAAAAAGAACCAAGACCAATTTGCACTATCAGACAATTAAATATCGACCTTCATCACATTACCTTAATGGAATATTTCCGGCATGGAAAAAGTCTGTATTTTTAATTAATAGATGTATAATTGAATTGCAATAAAGCGTCTCACTTGGATGCTCTTGTTTTGGTAGGATAATGATGGGCATCGTTTTTTCCCAAACGTTGGTACTTTCAATGGCTCATACAATAACAAAGATAGAATACCAGTGAGTTCATTAATCTGAAAATGTTATAACGGTTAAATTGTGAACGTTAATTTTTCCCCCAAACGTTTATATTTTACTTTTGAGTGCATGCA